TACCCAGTGTGTAAGTGACTGAGTCGGGACTCGAATCCAGGCCTGTGGGACCCTAGAGTGCATGTTCTCAACCACCGTGCTCTCTTGTCCAAAAGGAACAGGGGATAGGGAAAGGGAGATTTTCATAAAATAAAGATGATATAAAGAAGATAAAGAGCATGCTGCAAAGCAAGGTTTTAATTTATTCTTTTTATTTACAAACTCCTTTCTCGCAGAGTTAGGAACTAGTCCCAGGAGTTGGGCCAGAGCATTTGTGTTTAGGGAAAGAAATGAGTTTCTTAAATTATTTATTTAAAAATAATTGTTTGCAATCACCCTCACGGGATGAATGCAGTCACCTGGGTTTGGGGGTGGGTAGGATAAAGTGAGAAGGCTTGTGTTTTGGGTATGGTTTCACTGATGAATTTGAACACATGAAGCCTCTCTTTATTAAAAAGAAAATATTTATTGGCAAACCGAATATAGCAATACATTAAAAAGATCATACGCCATGATCAAGTGGGATTTATACCAGGGACACAGGGATGGTTCAACATCTGCAAATCAATCAATGTGATACACCACATTAACAAAACGAGGAATAAAAACCATATGATCATCTCAATAGATGCAGAGAAGGCTTTTGACAGGATCCAACATCCGGGGCCGGCCCGGTGGCTTAGTGGTTAAGTGCGCACGCTCTGCTGCTGGTGGCCGGGGTTCGGATCCCGGGCGCGCACCAGCGCACTGCTTCTCCGACCATGCTGAGGCCGCGTCCCACATACAGCAACTAGAAGGATGTGCAACTATGACATATGACTATCTACTGGGGGGCTTTGGGGAAGAAAAAGGAGGAGGATTGGCAATAGATGTTAGCTCAGAGCCGGTCTTCCTCAGCAAAAAAAGAGGAGGATTAGCACGGATGTTAGCTCAGGGCTGATCTCCCTCACAAAAAAAAAAAAAAAAGATCCAACATCCATTTATGATAAAAACTCTCAACAAAATAGGTGTAGAAGGAAAGTACCTTAACATAATAAAGACCATATATGACAAACCCACAGCCAACATCATAATGGGGAAAAACTCAAAGCCATCCTTCTGAAAACAGGGACAAGACAAGGGTGCCCACTCTTGCCACTCTTACTCAACATAGTACTGGAGGTTCTGGCC